GATATTCATCCGCGTTTCTCGGTGGTCTGTTTATTTTTCTACTATGCTCTCCGACTCTGATGTGTAGTTCCCCGGCCGTCCGTCCTATAAAGACGTTGGTGCAGTCATTACACTTACACTGTGAGAAATTGTTCGGCCAAGCGTGGCCGAATATCTGTACACAAGTGCTAAACCTGAAATTTCCTACACAAATAGCCTGAGCAACGGAAGGAGGCTCGGTTTCTAGGACGTTTGGTATCCACACTTGTACTTCATATGGCGGTCTATACGTGTAAGAAGGGAAGCCTCTGGTCGCTGAGTTGTTTATTAGAAAACACCAACTAAACGGTTACAGACTGTCAGACAGGAGAGTAAACATCTCTTATTATTTCAAAAAAATTGAACATCCTCACACGTTTTCTTGAAATTTTGTGGATATTTGTTGACTCTGAGGGAATTGTAGGTTGACCCTTCAAGGCATTTCCGCAGGTTCCGTAATGACCCTTCCGAGGCGGAGTTGCGAGAAAACCGCATTCTACTCATCAGTAGTATCCGCCGCTGCACGCATAATGGCAATATTTCATGACATGAGATTGGACCAGCATAACTGTCTCTAAATTAGTGAAGTGTTCCGAAGAGAAGTTGTGTCTGCAACTCGAGTCCGTGAGGGTTCCTTGTTAACACTTGATCTGTCACGCCACTTTTAGACGGAAAGCGGAGGTAAGCTGACTTCGCTGGGTTTCGCTTCCCATCTCGTTTTATGGGTCTCATTTTTTTGAGCTACTTCACCGGGACGAGCTTGTTGAAACCCACCTGCTGCATCAGTGTTTTTCTGGCAGGCCAACCATACAAAACCGCTTGTCTTCTAGGCTTACAAAGCTGAAAAACTGAGTGTTTCAACCCGTCCGTGTCGGTTTGCGACATTGTCTCTGCTGTGTTCTTGTCAGTAACATGCCAACAGAGGGCAGCTGGTCCAATTTCACATGTAACAGACGCGTCTGGCTAAGTCCTGTTGTCAAATCTTAAACTGACAAAGCGCATACCCGATGATAGATAAAGCAGAAGGGTAAAGGATGTAAAGTAAACTGTTTCATCTCACTTTATCTGACAGTTGAGAACCAGTATATAGTACTGGTTGGTGCCTTTCTGTTGATGGTGCTGTTGGTGAAACGATATCCCACCTCCTTGGCGCCAGACATGGAAATGACTTCTAACCGGTTTAAAACAGGATTTTGAGCGTGGCCTCGAAGGTTCTAGGCTCTTCTTACCACTGAAGATGTTGGCATCCAGATTTTGTACATAATACCGTTTTGTACGGACAGCGAATTTCACCTAGTCAGACAATCACGTGACTTACGAAATCTACACTGTTTTTTAACTACTGATGTTCAGTAGTGATTATTGAATATAATTAGCGTAGCCCCACTTTGATCGATTTTGTTTCGGCTAAACGAAGATAGATAGCTCAGAGTTTGGTCATTTTCAACAGAGATTTCGTTTTGTCGATGAAGTCGAAATGCCGAGAAGCAACGTACAACTGTTTCATCCCTTTTGTACACAAAACTCAGATCGTTACAAAATTTCCGACTAGTGCTTCGAACGCCAAAACTTTCGGTCGCGAACAGCTGTGATTAGCCCTCACTTAGATAGGACAGTACCATCCATTGTTCAATAACGGAAAGTACATCACGTATTGGTTGGTTGCGCGAGTGACGATTTCTCAGATGGGAACTTCACTCACTTGTTCTCCCTCTGAGCTGCTTGTAGATTGATGGTGACAAGCAATCCAGAGGAAGAACGTTTTCACAAGATAGATGGAATTTCCTTCTGAGAAGTTGTCACTCGAGGAGCCAATCAATACGTGACCACGTGATGTGGTTTCTGTCATTGAAGGGGATGAGTGACGCTATGTCCCTCCTTTAAATGATCAGTCACCCCTGGGTCAAATGGGTAATTGCCCAACCATTGGTCGGGTCGAAACACTCTGATTTTCGTGAGATACTCGCTGATTATGACGATTCACGACAAGGAAGAAACACCTGTACGGTGTTTCTAATTTAGTTTTGCGAAAGACCCACCTGTAACCCACATTGAATTGTCTGGATACATCACAAATAGAGATTGAACTGGGTTCCAGGTGAGCCTCTCGCAAAACCAAATTAGTTTGGAGATGAGTATATTTCGCTTATTTCGTGCAATTTGGTTTCAAGTAGAACATAAGGTTGGCGGAAACTCGCGGACTGTGCCTACCTGATGAGCCCCAAGAAGAGCGAAACCGGTTGTGGGCTGTGGAAGAACTTTCAGCAACCTTGTGAGTAGCGCATTACGAGCATACATACACCTGTATGGTTCTTATAGGCTTTGCAGCATAGGTTAGCTTCACTGACCGAACGAAATCTCTTTTCGAAATTCGGATCTATTCCAGGTGAGCCCCGCCGCTACTGCAAAAAGTGCATGTGTGACAAGTTAAGCCCTGCCACTTTGGCCAGCTCCATTTTGATGTGCGCACACAACCTTGACCTATTTTTGATGAAAACAATTCCCTATCCGCATCTAGGCTCATTTTGTGCAAAAATTTTATCCGTTCGGACGTAAAACCTTAACTGAACTTTCTGACGCTTTCAACTCTCGTTCATGAAATGAGACGGTAATACGTTTTTTGCAAAGCCACGGAGTGATGCATCAGCAACAATGGTCATCAAATGACACTCACAACTGTTTCTGACAGGTGGAGCTGTAATGCCCGACAGTGTCAGGTCTTCGAAAGGGAACTTGCCTGGAACGTTCCAGGATGGAGTTTAGGACAGTAATTCTATTCATTTATTGCTGGTCCAAAAATTTGACAACAATCAAATTCTGCTCTGGGGAATTATTTATTAGCCACATGACCGCTGTTGACTGGAAGAACTTTCTTCGTGAATTTTTGCACCTGGTGGCGGCTTTTGCAGACTCCAACTTTCATCGGCGGCCCAGGTCTCCACGTCGAGATCGATGAAACGCTAATATCCCGAGGTGAAAACCACGCAGGGCGAGTCCTTCCCCAGCAGTGGATTTTCGGAGGGATCTGTCAGGAAACTAAAGAGGTATTCATGTATGCAGTGCCAGAGCGAACTGCGGACACAATCCAGGCCTGCATCGCTCCCGGCTCAATCATCATCTCCGATATGTGGGTGGTTGACATGAATTATACCCATGAAATGGTTAATCATACCGAAGACTTTGTGAATCCAAGGTCTAGAGCTCACACAATTCATCGAATCTCTTTGGCACGTCTACAAGATGCAGAATAGACGCCAATGCGGCACATACCTGTCTTTAGTGGACAGCTACTTGTTTGAGTTCGTTTGGAGGCAAAAGTACCGAAAAACGGACCTATTCGACAAAAACTAAAAGTACGCATTTCATATCCTTATTTTTCTAATCTTTTTTGGGTGGCCGGGGGTTAATTTTTTGGCAGGGCTTATCTGGAAAAGATCCCAAAATTCTGTATATATCAACTTCCTTCATCACGTTTACCTGTTCTTTCATCAAGAATTCGTTCTTCTGACGATTTGTCACTTCCAGTGGTTCTTTTTCAAGTTCACATGGATGAGAACGACTGCTGGTTTTGAATAACCTGGATTATGGAGGCATTATCATCATCAACGCAACACCGGCAGCACCCTTTTGGGGCTCCGGGGTTTCACTGCCGTACATCGATGCCAAGTTAGTCCGATCAGGACAAAGAAGCTAAGNCCTATCAGTACCCGGACGAACATCATTCGCGTCCACTGAGGTCCGTATGTTGCAACGCTTCTCACCAAGCAATCAGGTGGATCCTACACTTAAAGGCGGACAAGATCGATTTTAATCAGAGTTTTGGTTCCACTACGTTATATTTTTCGGACCACTTGGGGCGCGCCATTCTGAATTAGACTTGGAGATAATCTCTCCCCCGGATGTGATTCCTTGGAACTTGTAATATTTCATGGGTACCTGACTCCTCACCAAGTCCTTCCACGCCAACTAGCTTGCCGCCAGTTCACTGATGCCGAACAATTCCTGTTCAAGGACCCGAAGATCCTCTACGAGCAACAATCAACCCTCGTGATTATACAACAACACATCTCCTAATTTAGTCCGATGCGTACGATCTTTGAAATCTGATTATGCACACTCTTGTCAGGAAGGTCAGATTCCTGAAAGTAACCCTAAAATGCTTGGAACCTACTGAGACCACCAACATTTCAATAGGGAAGCCCGCAAGCATCCAGGCCGACCAATCACGTGATCAATTCAGCAAAAGCTGATGAATGCTCGAGCACGCCACGGAAGCACGACCGACTACGATAAGCGTTCGGACATTTCATAGAATGGCGGTCGATGTTGATGGGTGTTCACCAAACGTCTGGATCAATGTCAAAAAGTCGCCGTTGTCACTTTTGCACTCGCTTGTTGCAATAAAAGTGTTGTTTCCTTGTCGGGTAATTTTCTTTTCCGTCATTGGGCACTAGAGCGGGAACAACACACAGATATAGCATGTTTTTTACGCCAAAATTAGCGCCAACCGGTGAATTCGATTCGTACGTCTAAGAGTTGTGCAGAGACTTCATCTGTCGCCACTACCTTCAACACTAATGCAACTTCCGAGACAGGTAATCCACAATCAAATCATCGGTGTCCCTTCTTTAAAGATTTCTTGTAACGCGTTTTTCTTCGTTTCGTGAGGATGACGTATACGTTCCTATCTCGTCTTCGAACCTACTTGTACATATCAAACCGATAAGCTTCTCTCACGAAGCGACTTAGACGTCTGGGTTTTGTAGCCTCTTCGCCCGAGCTCCGTCAGTGTGCTTTTGCTGAATTTGTGTGCAAATGAGTGTATTTTGCGAATTGTGTTCAGTTTTGGTTCCGTCCGAACAGAAATTGGTTGTTTTCGTGCATCGCCCGGATCGTTTACATGCTGTCGCGTAAATTTTTCAGCCTGGAATCAGGTTGTACTTTTCCCTTTTTCTTATACCTTCACTCATATGGTTTCTCAGGTGGACGATCCGGTTAGGTCCCGATCCTACAACCGAACTGGGGCTCCCAATGACGTGGTTTCCAGCCGTGGCACAGTGAGGAGTATCGGGGATACACTGACCAATGTGACCAGGCCATCACCGAATGGCGACGATGAGGACAATTCTTTTGACGCCCCACCTTCACCAAAACATTCTAGACCGCATCGGTTACGTCCACACGGTCAAACTCAACGAAAACAGAGGAGTTCGCGTCATCGAAGACTTCTCCCAAGCACTTCCGAACGGATGAACAG